GAAGAACTGCCACCTCGCCAGCACCCAGCGGGGTGCGGGGCTGGGGGGCGGGGTCCAGGGTGGCCCTCCCGGGAGCACCCGTCTGTCCGCGGAGTTCCGTCTCGCGCCACCTCACTGTCCGCTGGAGCCCGCAGTCCCCGCACGGAGAATCCCGCGAGGAACTGGGCTGTAAAACTAGTAAGAGTCGTGTCTGTTTTGCCTTCAGGATTATTGCATCGAGCTTTTAGTGTCTTCTTATTCAACACCGAAAACAAGCTCCTGCTACAACAAAGATCAGACGCTAAGATTACTTTTCCAGGTTCGTAAGCTCAACGTACAGTGGTTCGGGGCGACTGTATTTCACTTGACTTTGTCACTTCCTGGCAGCCAAAGTCAAAAAGGAAATCTTAGGAATGACTTAATTTTATATTAGTAGAACCACCTTAGAGAGTGAGCGCAGCCTAATAAAACAGCAGTGAAGGGTAGGAACTGCTAGGCATGTGTGTATGCTCGTGTAAGCTTTAGAAGCTTACCTTACACACATTTTGCTCATTTTGGTTAAGGCGCTATTAATCAAACCTTACCTACACCTGCCTGTTTCACAAAACGGTGATTGAGAGCCCACTGTAGCAGACTTAGAGATCCTTATCTCTAGGGATTTAGGAGTCATTTTACTTTCCTGTCACTTTTGAAACGTGAAGATTTCGTTTTTCAGACAGATTTTGAAGAAAAGTTAACCTTCCTCTATGTTGACGTGTTCCAGGCTGTTTTACTAATACTTGCTGCAGTCATCCCCTAAGTAACCCGGGAGAGCTGGAAGAAAATGACGCAATCGGAGTCCGGCGAGCAGCGCAGAGACGTCTGAAGGCCGAGCTGGGGATCCCCATGGAAGAGGTGAGCAGTTCCTTGCAGCCGCGCTGCCAGCTGAAATCTACACACATGTTTTTAATAAAATTCTAAGTTCAAGTGTAGCTCGCTGCTGTGTAAACGCTGAGTTATTAGCCCAAGAAAGCACGCTGAATACAGATTAAATGTTGGTTTTCCGTAATACTTGTCAGTATTTAACTCAGTGCCAAAGGGGATCAATACGTTAACCAGTGTATAAATTGACTATTTTTTATAATTGATCAGGTCAGAGTTGAGTATTTTCTTGTGGAAATCCTTAGGTGTATGAACTACAGATTTGATTACGTGAATTGACATAATCTTCTCTTGCTAGAATTTTCTCCTTTAAATAAATAAAGCATCTCTCATCTAGTTAAAAATGGTAATTATTTTTCTCTCATAAAGTAATATTAAGATGTGAGGGAGAATGTCACACTTCTAGTTTGAGTGACTTCTTTAATACAGTTTTTTTCAGTAAGTCAGCTTGTTTTTGGTCCTATGGGAAAATTTTCAGACACTTGAAACTATTTAATACTGTTTCCATATGTAATTAATAGGAGATGAATTTCAAAAGCTTTAATTCTGAAACTATAGTTCTGCTTTCACGGTATTCCTGGACTGTGGTGGGTTAATTCGGATTACTTTCTTTGTTGTTGATGTGTTTGGTTTTGTTTGTCTTAGGTTCCTCCTGAAGAAATTAATTATCTAACACGAATTCACTACCAGGCTCAATCGGATGATATCTGGGGAGAACATGAAATTGATTACATTTTGTTTGTGAAGAAGGACGTGACTTTGAATCCAGATCCCAATGAGATTAAGAGCCATTGTTACGTGTCAAAGGAAGAGCTAAAAGAACTTCTGAAAAAGGCAGCCAGCGGTGAAGTTAAGATAACTCCATGGTTTCAAATTATTGCAGAGACTTTTCTCTTTAAATGGTGGGATAACTTGAATCATTTGAATCCGTTTGTTGACCATGAAAAAATACACAGAATGTAAATGTGGAGATCAATGGTTACTAAAGTACTGAATAATTTCTTAGTAAACTTAGAATGAATTATTTTTAAAATTTGGTTCCTCATTGGAACTCTCACTCAAAAGACTGATACTTTACAACCAGAATTTGTGTGGAAGACAATTTTGAATCATACATATGCACTGTTACACGCACGCATATATATGCACTGCTATTTATAAAACATTTATGAGGGATTATTGTAAAAGAGAGAGAGCAAATAAACTTAATTTCATCTGTCTAAACACATGGTTATGACAAATTTGAGCAAGTAAGTGAAGTTCATCACTTTTGATATGTCGTCATAAACATTTTTAGAGAGCACTTTGCTGTTTGCCAGGTGCTTGACATAGCTTTAAATTTTTATCCGTGCAGAAGTGTACAGTGAAAACTATTTGTCTGCTTCAAAACAGCTCAAATTGAACTGTCCCTGTTAAGAGATTAATACAGTAGAACAGGTTCAAGGGAATTAAATGGTACATGTCCTGACTTCTGTCATTCTAAGTTAATTTTGTGATTTAAGCATTCTGGAAGTATTTTGACACTTAAAGTCAAACATTGCTTTTGGTTAGACATTGGCTGGGTTTAGTCATTTAAATGGTCTTTGCCAATTAGCAAGTCTGTTTTCAGAGCTACTGCGGAAAGACAGGCTACTTGTAAAACGGAACTTGGGTCATACTTTCCAGCAGGGTTTCCTAACCTGGGTCCAGCTGGTGTTTGGGGGGGGTGACTCTGTTGTCGAGGCTCATCCAGTGCATTGTAGGATGTCTACCCCCAAAATGCCATTGGCACCCCTCCCCCATGATAGCCACAATGACACCAGATGCCAAATGTCTCCTGGAGGACAGCGTCCCCCAGTTGAGAACCACTGTTCTCCAGAGTTGGGCCCTATTGTAGGGAGGGGAGGGGATACCAGAAAGGCTGATATTTAATGCTAAATAGGTTTGGGTTGTGGAATATGTGTATGTTAACGTTTAAATTGCACCTCAACTAATGTACTTTTTACTAAAACTCTTGCCATAGATTTCTCAGACTTGAAATCTTAAAACAGCTTTACTATCCTCGAATGCTATGCAATGGTAAATAATGAAGAAAAAAAATTTTTCTTACAAAGCTAAATGTTTTATAAATTCAGAAAAAAAAAATCCATTTCTTGTTAACCCTGAACAGTTAATTTCAGGCAAAACTGTAGCAAGTATTACCTTTATTGAAAAATAAAAACAAAAATAAATAAAAGCATTTAGATGCTGTTGTCTAGTTTGTTTATATTGCAATACAAGATGCTAACCTGCCCCTGGCAGCTTGAATGTGACAAGTGACACACAACTTCAAAGTACATTTTTAATATTATTTCTAGTTCTTCAGTTTTCTTTACTAGGACCTTACAGTCTGAAGGCCACACATACCGAGTTACTCGGTAGCTCCAGCGGCTAGTGGCTGCCGTACCGGACAGTGGAGCCCTGGACCACTGCCTGCTACTTCGTAAGTGCCCGGCGAGGGCTGGAATTGACTGCTGCCCCTCGGAAACCTGTTCTTTGACCTGATGAACTCCTTAGGACTCCTTTACCTCCTTAAAACTGGCTGGCTTTAAAATTCAGTCTCCAAAACAGAAAACACATTGCAGCCACAGACACAGAGCCAGACTGGGGCACCTTTGAGATCTGCGTTGATTTCAACAACCATTTGGGCCACTTGTTTTTGCTTCTCTTACCAACCTTTAAATTCTTACTCTTGTTTTAAATTCACCAGCAAAGAGGGGGCCTGCAGAGCCCCGGCCTGGGCACTCTCCCCCTCGACCTCACTGCGTAGCCCCAGGTGCCCCGTACAGTATCAACACCTTGTTACTAATAAGCCTGTATCTTCTCAGTTTCCTGATGGTTATTGTGGCACAAAACACATTGCCTGTTTATTATTTTGTTACTCCATGTTTGGGTTCCAGCAGCACGCCGATTTGATCATTATCATTTTCACATTCCAGTGCTGGGTTGAGCAAGCCCTATTACTCTCACTTTCAAAACATCCAGAGCTTTTACTGCAAATGTGTGTGCAATTTTCTCAAGAGAAAATAAAATCTTATTTCCTAAAATGCCAACAGGATTGAGAATGTAATTAAACTGTGAAGGTTAATTTTGTAAGACCTGCCACCTGTATATATTTTATTTTGCCCATTTACTCATGTTTTATTGTCCCTTGGTCGGATTTTGACATTTTTTTCTAGTGGGTCATGCACATTTATCCTTCAGTATTTCCAGGAAACAATACATCATCTGTTTCAGTAACAACCCATTATGTTTCAGGGAATATTATTTTACCAAAGGTTTTTTTTTTTTTTCATAAAAAAGCATGATGATGAATAAAAGTTATAAAACATTGAGCTCACTCAGAAGGAACTGGTTTCCACAAGATTTACCCTCTTGAATTCAGCCTAGACATGGTTCCCTCCAGAAATGAGAACTGAACAGTCTGTCGACATGACTGGATAAAAATGTGATATATGTATAATGCGATATTACACAGCCATAAAAAAGAATGAAATACTGCCACTTGCAACTAGATGAATGGATCCTTACTAGTATACTTTGTGAATTAAGTCAGAAAGACAAATACCATGATTTCATTTATATGTGGAATCTAAAAAACAACTGAACAGACATACAGACTCACAGGTACAGAAAGCAAACCAGCGCTGCCAGGCGGGAGGGCAGTGTGGGGGCAGCGGGTCCAGGGGAGACACGGACCCACCTACTGTCTTCCCTCCCAGCAGTACAACTTTTAAAACGCACTGACGTGCAGGAAAGTCTTGAATTAGACGCCAGAACCCACGCAGGGGGGCTCAGTGCTGAGTCAGCAGAGGGGCTGTTTGAACCTGCACACACAGCAGTGGCCGTGGTGGTTCTGTGGTCAAGAGATGTTTTACGCACTTAATATTCAAACATATTAATTTCCTACATTTTACTGTGATTGGGGGCTCTGAGTCAACACGTAACTCACAATGATTCCCATTTAAAATAAAAGAGACCCCAGAAAGTGCCTGTGGCAGTGTGGGATGTCCCGTGTGTTTTAACCAGACAGCCACGTCCAGCAGTGGACCACCGACAGAGACGCCTGTGTCTAACTGATGCAGTAACTGAAGCTACATTCTGTTCCACTAAAAACTATTTTTTTGCTTTGAAAACAAAAAAGAATTGTCATTTACTTCCTTCCCTTTTCATTTGCCCAAACTGTCTATGATTGGTAACCGAACTAAAACCAACTAAATAAATCAAAACTGCTTTCTTTAGGAAGTTTATTTTGGATGAAACAGTTGAAGACAGGTTACAATGGTGCACTGTCCAAGAAGACTGGAAACTGACTTCGTGCTGGCATCTGACACACCTGTCCACCTTCACTGGCTCCTGTGTCTGCAGGGCAGGCTGGCAGCCTTCTGCCCACACCCACAAGTGGAGGTGTTTTCTCTGCAGGACTACCAACATGCAGTGAACCGAAGTTACCTCTTGCACAAGAGAGTAAGATTTCTCTGCATCAAAAATACAACCAACAACCTCAAACCTTTCCAGTCCTGCAAGTCTGAAGCAACCAAAACTCCATGAGATACTACCACCTACTCAGAATATCAGTGACGTGACACAGCCGTCCCACACCTGCACCGTCAAGGGAGAACCACAGCTTTCAGCAAAGCGACAAGTGCTTTAGTTATTTCATCATTACGCTCGGTCTGTAGATCGTGACTAATTCCAGAAAACAAACCAGGAAACAGTCCACGGAAGTGCCAGCCGCAAAGGGCCCTATCTCCTGTCCTTCTTCCCAGCCTTCCTCTTTCCCGAGAGTAAGTGCTTGGGCTTCATGTCAAACACGTGTCTGTCCGACTCCCCTTTCTTCCCCAAGCGATTCATCTTCTTCTGAGCGTTCTTCATCATCGTCTTGGCTTTCTTCACCATCTACGAGGCAGGAGGAAACAAACATGTGAGCTGTGGACCAGCTTCCGTGGCCGCAGATGAAGACGAGCTGAATACCGCACCTGGACAAGTCTTACGTCCACACGGACCAGACACACTGAGACCAAGAGGTCAGGGGGCACTGTCCTAACTCCCTCTTAGGCCAACAGAGAAACTGGGATTCCAGCCACGAACCTGTGCCCACATCTGACTGACGGGAGGCAATGCCGGTATTGAAATCCAGACTCCTGCCTGGAGAACGCACGTGCAACGGAACTCAGGCTCCCATGAGCAGACTGCTTGCCGGTTTAGATACAGACTTCCCCATTTACCTGGATTTTCAAAATGCTGAAACTAACCATTTCAGCAAGAGACTGTGGACATCCAAAGTGTCTTTCCCGAAAGACTGCTGAGAAGGGCTCCTTCTGGGCTTGCTCCCCACGCGGGCTCGTGGTGGGCGAGGGCCCTGGGCTCTAGGTTCCCAGCAGGTCCTAGCACGCGCCTGAGCTCAGGGCCGAGGCTCAGCCTCTTGGTGCTGTCCCAACACCCTGCTGCTGTCCACCCCCGAGAAAGTCCCACAGTGCTTGGAGGGCAAAGGCCCAGGTGGCCCAAGCCAGCCTCTCGGTGCAGACGCACTAACCCCACCTGCAGGACCCGTGTCGAAAGGCAGCTGTGCTGTGCGCCCAGAGCCCGCCTGTCAGCATCAAGGGCTGCCTTTTGTTAAGTACTCGTCACAGGGACCAACCTTGACATCCCGGAGGCCAGAGACATCGCGTGGAGTCCGGGAGCAACTGCGACTCCGGGCTACAGAGGTGGGCGGAGCGGAGTCCTCCCGCTTTCTCTTCCTGGTGACACTCCGCGACCGTCTGGCCTGGGCCGCATAGTGGGCCTGAAACGCACAGAAAGCAGCCCTCAGCGCACAGGGCCCAGGGTTCCAGTGACAAACATGAAATTACTCCGACTAGGGGAGGAGGTACGTGGCGGGGTTCTCAGAACCATCACAAGACTACTAAGGGTCTTTAAAACACAATTAATTTCACATGAATTCTTGGTCAAATGTTCTTTCTCACTTCATACAGCCATTTTATGATGCCAAGCTGATTTTAATGCCATTTAAAAAACCTGACTTAGAGCTGCCTGTCCAACCATGTTAGTGTCACAATGTACACATCAGACGTGAAGAGCAGCCTCTCCTCCCCCCCGCACCCTGGGCTTGTCCCCCGCACATGGGGTGACAGCCGCGGGACAGCTCACCCGAGGCTGAGCAGAGCTGGCGGGCACCGAGGACAGGCGCCGCTCCCTGCTTGCAGTCCCCGCCCCGAGTTACCACCTGAAGATGCTCACATGACAGAGACACGCGCAGGCAGCAGGCCCAGCACCCGAGGGCAACCCCACGTCAGAGGCACATGCGACAATAAGGACACTCCCCGCGCAGGACACCCTCACGCTCTGACCAAACTCCACTTAGTCTAACACAGCGACACCATCTGATTGTGATCATTCCACCTCTGGGCGTCTATTCTGAGAAGATAATCCAGAACGTAAAGGAGCTCTTGCACAAAAAGATGTGTTCTGGCATCATTTATCAAGCAAAAAAAAAAAAGGTGAAACGCCTTCTAACTGCGAGGCTCAGAGGAGCAGGTCTGAACATTTACAGCCCACGTTCCTCTCACGCCGAAAGACCCAAACACACCTTGTGGTCACTCGGTAGCTGGACTGAAGCTGACTAAAGCACTACGCAGACTTCAGTCAGCAAAGCCAAGTCGCAGCTCAAGTAAAGAAACTGTGCAGAACAAAATAAACATGCCTGTTCCCCTCGACATTCTTCTCCAGTTTGTATTTGAATGTACGTTCTTCTGTTTCGTTGTATGTTTCTTACAAGTCATCTTATATTTTTGGCCTAAGATAAACTAAATTTTTATTCAAGTAAAAATGTGAGGTAATTACGCTAAAATGAAAAGTTCTACCACAATGGCAGGGAGGTGCCACGTGAAGAAAGTGGTTACAAATACACCCTGAAGCCCTCTGCACCGAACACCAGCTGAACGGCGTCTACCGAGCACCAGCCAGCTCACTTCCGTGCTGAACAAGCACAGGGACGTGTCTCTTCCTAGTTTCTGCTATTTCCCGAATTTTCCACTAACCTGGAATGGAAGGTAATTTACACACTTGTGTAACATAACACTGACAAACAGCAGGAACACAGAAGAAAGAAAATGGACCGGAGCACTCATGTAACTGACATGACCTGAAACGGCACCGGGGGGGGGGGCGCGGGGGGGCAGCAGCGCCGCACAGGAAGCGGCCAGGCCACCCGGGCCCTCCCTGCGACGGTGACCCAGGCGGAAGACACCCACC